TCGTGCCATCACAAAATTAATTTTTAATCAAAAAAACGTGATTTTTATTCAAAAAGGACGTGTCAAAAAATTTGTACGCGTTTTCTATAAGGGTAAATTCACAATTTTTGCAACCTCTGCAGTTTAATATGATTTCTGCATCGTCCCTGACTAGGATGGAAGAACATGTGATTTTTAAGGAGTAAACCAATCAAATCGCAAGATCAATGTGTAACGAGGCATATAATTCGCCTTAGATTAATATTTCGCATCTCGCGATTTGATTGGTTTACCCCTTACAAATCACATGTTTTAGGTTAATAGCATACGTAAGTATAATCTCCGGTCAGATGATTATCAACACGAAAGATAAGAATTAGAATGTTGAAAGTTGAAATGAAAAAAGAATATATGTAAAATTGACCTCTCGAAATTTTTCAAGCTAGATTTCGATGTTTGTTTTTCGTATTTTTTGTCTTTTATTTCTTTGCGCCGGGTCTGGGAAGTTCACGTGATCAGGAACCGAGCACATGATGCGTGAAAACCAGATCATGTAATTTCGATCTGTCTTTTATTCGATAGCGATAGCAAATCATCCGATTTTCTTTGAATTAAATAAATAAATAATTAATATCTATCTAATATTGTTAAATTTTATTAAGTAATATCCTCCTATTATATAATATTGCAAATTATCAGAACGTTAGCTCGACTTTATGATTTTGTTAAAATACATTATCGTTCATCAGCAACAAATAGAAGGCTTATTCAACAAGTGGGATTTAAAAACTCACCCGAATATGACCAATTCTACTCAACAATCGAAAATGCTTCTTTCAGTAACAAAAATAAATGAAATTCAGGTTACTAGTGAACAGTTAAACTATATTAGAAACAAGAATAGAAAACCATACGAGAAAGATTCTACTACGCTAGTTCTCCAACAACAAATTGTCGATAATCTTTTTAAAGAATTATTTTTTATGTCGCTAAAACTGATAGTTTTTTATCCGTAATAAAATCTGACATAAGCTTAATTAGTACATGTATATGCAGTACTCCAGTGTTGAATGTTCTATATGCTATCAGCTGGGTTTTAGGTACTTGAAGAAATCAGGAAAATTGAATTTTTTATTCATCATCAGGAATGAAAGTAATCGTAACGTAATATGACACGCGACTAGAATAGAATATTTATAAATTATATGATTCTTGTTTCTTCCTACAATAATTTCGATTATCGTGTAATCAATATTTTACACCTTTAAATACTGTAATAATACATTCATATCAAATTACAATTAATCTAAAATCAAAAAGACAGATCTTTACACTTTATCGTTTTTATTTTTCTTTTCACTGGCATCTATAGAAGTGACAATTGGTGGGTTACCGCTAATATCTCCAAATACTCCTTTAATCACATTGAGAATATTATTTTTCGATTCCCACAGCTAAGAAAGAAATCAATCGAGTTATTCAGCAGCTCAAAGAAATAATTCGATGAAAAATCAAAAAGATAGCAAGCTCACCG